CTACTCTTGCTAATTACTAATTTAATTATTTTATTGGAATAATAAAAGGAGTATTAAAAGGAAAAAGAAGAGAAAGAGAGTCATTTTGGAATATTCATCATACGTGCATTTGAGAAGAGGAAAAAGAAGGAGAAAACCGGAAGCGTCAGAATTCGAAGAACCCACAAGGTAAGGGGTGATTTCGATTAGTTAATTTGTATTATCGGTTTAGATATTCAATAGTATGGATCATAGTATGTTAGGGAATCCCGGTTTGGAATTCTAGGGTTCCGTAGAATTGTCCTTATTGCGTCGAATTGTAGGTTGAAAACCATTAGGGTGTCAGATGATAAAAAGGAATGATGAAATAATGTTGTTTGATGTTATAATGGTGCAAAATGGATGTGTTTTGGTGTTTCTCATGTTGCAATTCATATGGGTATGTTTGGAATTGGTTTAGAATGAATAAATGCTGTCAAAAGTGCAGAATTTGACTCTGCAGGTCGTGGGAACCGATTCCCAGTGGGGAGGAACCGGGTTCCACTGTGTGAATTTATAAAAACAGGCAAAAGTGCACGTAGGAACTGGTTCCTGTATAGGTAGGAACCGGGTTCCCATACATTTTTCCAGAAGCGTGATTTTTGAACTTCGCAGGAACCGGTTCCTGCATATGTAGGAACCGGGTTCTGCTGTAACTTTTTGAAAAATATTAAACTTTGAAAATTCATAACTTTCAAACCGTAAGTCCGTTTTGAGTGCCGTTTTGGACGTTATTTCTTAAATTTAATGCTCTATTTTATAAAATGAAAAGATTTCCTAAAACCTGAAATTATTTTGAAAATGAGTCAAATCCCGGAATAAGTGATTATTGGCTAACGCACATGGGTGTGTATGTAGCAGTGAACCTGTGATGGATGGATGTATTAGTATTGTGTGAATGAAAGACATGTTTATGTTGCTAATGATGGTGTGCATGATCGTTGAGATATCATGTTTTTGGTTTGGTTCAGTTATGATAAATTGATGTATTTCATAGACTGATTTGATGTTGCATGCTAGTGATGTGCGTGCATATGCATTATTTTGGTGAAGTTAATTCCCATTGTGTGGAATTTGACTTGTATTGTCGTTAACCGATACCCGGGTGATGATGGGTGGTTAGACTGGATTCGTGTCCAGGTGTTTATGGACGAATCGATGGTTGTTGTATCTGATTGATGATGGATCAGTGTTGGGTGACTTGGTCACGTGTTGGTACCACATGCATTGTGTTTGCATTTGTGTTTGCATGGAATTGTAACATGTTAGGATGTCTTCCAGTGTTACAATTCTTTGGTTGATTATTGATTTGTGCATAATGACTTGTATGATTGGAATTGCGTGTTGAATCTGAATTTATGCTAAAATGGGTGAAATAATATGCTTGTGATATAATGTTGATTGAGAAGCTTATAATGCATGTTAATTATGAGAAATCTCACCCTTACTTTAACAATTTCATATTAAAGTTAGCAGCTCAGGAGTTGGTGAGGATGGCTCTAGAGCTATGTTACTTTAAGTCCGCGTGTCAGTGTCGTGCTCTGATAGGTTGTAACACTGGGGAACGTTTAGTTGAGGAATTAGTTATTATTCAATTGTTTCTTTGAATCTCATTGGGAATAATTATGTTTTGGTTTATTCCGTTTTGGTTATGGTATTTTCCGCTGTGTAAGACATGGTCTTAATTTGATTGAATTATTTGAATAATGACCCTCAGTGTAGCATGACTACTGTTTTATTGGAAGTTTTATTTATTTCATAATTGTGACATCCCTTGTTCCGTGTTAACTCTGATGGAATATGTCTTTAATCATTGATATAATTAATATTATTCGGGATATTTTAGAAGGGGTGTTACAAAGGACACCTAACTCCTCTTTCACTTTGACAACGTTCCTGGGCAAACGTCCACGCGATAAAACCATTAACTCCGTCTATAAAATTGGGTTTAAGTGCGCGTCTTCCTAGATATAGTCTATCGTACATCCAACTACGATAATACATATAATATTCCATTTACTGCAAATTTATATAATCAAAACCTATTTAATTAGAAATATTAATTAATCAACTTAATAATAATCCTAAACATATACAATTAAAGATAAATATATGCTTTCAAAAATATTTATAAACTCCTAAAAATATTTATTTATTTTTAAACAATTAAAATTTAATTTAAACACCTAAATTTTATAAACTCCTAAAAATTTAAAAACTTATTAAACTCCTAAAAATTTAATTTAAACACTTAAAATTTATAAACTCCTAAAAATATTTAGTTATTTTTAAACACTTAAAATTTAATTTAAACACCTAAATTTTATAAACTCCTAAAAATTTAAAAACTTAAACTCCTAAAAATTTAATTTAAACACTTAAAATTTATAAACTCCTAAAAATATTTATTTATTTTTAAACACTTAAAATTTAATTTAAACACCTAAATTTTATAAACTCCTAAAAATTTAAAAACTTATTAAACTCCTAAAAATTTAATTTAAACACTAAAAATTTATAAACTCCTAAAAATATAAAAACTTAAACTCCTAAAATAATTAAACTCATTCATCACAAATTAATAATTAATAATTATTATAAACTAAATAATTAAACCTAACATTTAACTCAAATACAGAAAATATATATAACCTAAATTCAACAATTTTAACCCCATGCAAATTCATGAAATTCAGAAAATATATATAACCTAAAAATTAATCAAATTCAGAAAATATACTAATTTTAAAATAAAAAATTCAAGACATACCTTTTATCTTGTAACTCCTTCAATCTTCTTGTCTCTTTTTGCAATCTATACTTCTATCAATATTCTCCTTCTCTATTCAAAGAAAAATTGAAAAAAAATTATACTCAAATAACACATCAAAAGCTGTTAACAAAGTATAAATAACATTGAATTGAAATTACCTTACAACCAATGTATGGAGATGGTAGGAATTTAAGTGTGGAGAAGAAAAAATTTTGGAGAAGAAAATGGGTACGGAGGAATAGGGAAGGTTGAAGAAGAAGTATAACAAAGTGAAACGCTGCTGTGTGTTGTGGAGTGTTTTGATAAATCAGATAAAGCAAGTAGCGACGTGAAAATCACGCTGCAACGTTGCCACGTGATTTTCACGTCGCAACAATCATACAATTGTTTTCTCTTCCTTCAAAACCTGAACACGCCAGTGTTGGAAGTTGTGATTAATTTAATTTTTATAATATTTTAATTAGCGACGTGAATCCCACGTCGCAACTTTTTTTAACACAAAAAAAAAACTGACACACTTAATGCTTCTTTATTATATTATTAAAACACGTTGCTACGTGATTTTCACGTCGCAACTGACTTTATTTAGCCACATGAAAATCACGTGGCTGGTAAGCATTTTCTTGTAGTGTGTAATCAATTTGATAATTATCGTAGTGAACACTTTCATTATGTAAATCATCATCAAGCGAAAATTCAAGTGATTTTTCAAGTTAATTTCTCGTGTGAATTTTATTTTTAATGCATTACTCACTCTTTTTTTTCTATATAAAAACTCTTTCATAATCTCTTCTTTATTCTTTTTCAAAATCTTTTTATAAATTTGGGGTAAATATATTTTCGATCCTTATAAATTATTAAATTTTGTTTTTGATCCCCCTATACAATATCTAACATGTTCTACTCCTTATAAAATTATTATGTATCTTATTTTAGTCTCCGCTGTTAAATTGATTTGTATTTTTTAATGTTTATTTTGCATACATATTTAGAACGTTATAAAAAATTTCTCGAAAAAAAAAATTTTAAAATTTAGTTTCTAAGTTGAAATGTTCATTACTTTCATCAATATCTTTTGAAATTTAAAAAACTCTTTTTTAATTTTTTTCATTTTAAAAAATTCTAAAATTTGGCAAAGATATATTTTATATTATTCTAAACACGTATGAAAAGAATTATTAAAAAATTTAAAAGTTTAAGGAAAATTAAATAATTTTTAAAATTTTAGAAAAATAGCAGGAATTAAAATTGCATGAATAAATTTTTTGTAGGAACTAAAATATATCATTTTTTAAATACGGACTAAAAATAAAATTTTGAGATATTTATAAGACCAAAAACATATTTATCCTTAGAAACATTTTACCCTTTGTGTGAGAAGAGAAACATACTTAGGTATTGTTGTAGTTGAGTGTTCATTGTTATCGAGATTTGTTAAGAGTATCACATCGAACAATATATAGTATGAATATGCTTTATAAATGAGATAATTCTCGGTGTACAAGTCGGTTTTGTAGGATTGAATTAAATCTACTCATATTTCTTAATATGGTATCAAAATCTTCGCTTAAGATCTGGTGGAGCACTTGCTATCTGGTTTCCGCTATCGGATCACCCACCATTTATTTTCATGTTCTAGATGTTCAATCATAGGTGTTAGAGAGTGTGTTAAGAGTCTTACATCGAATAATATATAGCTCGAACATATTTTTATAACTGAGAATAATCTTTATCCTATAAATCGGTTTTGTAAGATTGATTAAAACACAACAACATTTCTTAATGAGATTTAAGGAAATTCAACTGAAAAAGGATTCTAGATAATTTTCCAAATTTTATTTATATTGTGCTAAAAGATTAAATCAATTAAAAAAAGTTATGGTAATTTGAATTGTTCAAAAGTTAGGTTTGATGAATCTGCAAAGGTGAAAAACAAGACAAATTGTAAAGAATTTGAGGATTTTTGTTTATAAGGTAGTTAGTAGGCTCCAAAAAGTGTAATTTCTTATAATCAATCAATCTAATAAAGTATAAATAGAAACAGAATAATAATACGAAGATTTTCTAGATTACTAGTTAATACAGAACCTCCATAAATCTCAATAGATCAAACAAGAAATGAAATCAATAGATAATGATAACAATATGAAAAATGAACAGAAAACCATGGAAGCACTGCCTCTGTCCTGACTATATCTCAGGAAACTCATCATACCATAACATAACTAAAGATCCATGAGACAGTAAAAAACAAAGCAACAATCGGTGAGAGAGTTGTAGCTGAAGATTCATTTTGCTTAGTAGGAGTAGTAGTGGTGGAGGGTGTGGTGGTAGTTGCGGCGGGGGTGTCATCAGAAGAAGGTGAACCTTTTGCTGATGGTGTTGCAGAAGGAGCAGCAGAAGAACCAGAAGAGGCCTTAACCTTAATAGAAAGTTTCATGCCACCGGTACAATGTCCGGGAACACCACATATAAAGTAATGTTTGCCTGCTTTCTTAAGAGGAATGGTTGTGGCACCACTACTGTCTGTACTAATTGAGTTTCCAGATGTGCATGATTTGTAGTCACTTTCTTTAACTTCATCCACAGTGTGCCCACTAGCTCCATAGTTGAACACTGCCATATTCAACTTACATACATTAGTTACTTTCGAAATTAATAAAATTTCAATTTCTTTTTAAAACTCGGTTTCTGACCCTAGGACGGGCTAGTTCGAGGAGATCAACCCTACCGTCAATTTGCAAGAGTCTATTTAAAGTCAAAACAAAATTCAATATGGATTGATCCAACATGACACTTTGAGAGTAGAATACTCTCGGGTATTAAGTTTTCACCAACAAGTCAATCCTGAGCGTTAAAATTGCTACTATTTATTTTTATTTATGGAAAAAAAATGCAAACTTCTTACCGAGGCTATCACCAACTGCAAAGGTTTTGTCACTAGCCCATGTGCTATAATCACCACCAATTGTCCAACCTGAAGTATCTCCAACAGTGTAGACAGTTGCAAGGGATGGAAGTGGCATGTTGATGATTGCTAAAAAGAAGCATAAAACCAAAGCATTAGAGAATGCCATTTGATGATATAGTGAGGAGAATGAATGGAAAGAGAATAGAATACAGAGGAGATGCTATGAGGTGAGGATGTTATTGGAATAATGGGTTTGCTTTATATAATTGCAAGAAAGAAGGGGTTAGGAGTTGTTAGAGTTAGGGACATGTTGGTCAATTTTTTGCATGAGGATTACTTGAGTTACACTTCTTACCTAATATATGGTCATAAAAGATGGTTATGTGTGTTGTTTCCAACTTTCATTATGAGACATGTAAAAGTTTGTGGTTGAGATGAATTATTGTTTTACAATTATAATGCTATTTGACAAAAAACTTCCAATAAGAACTTCACCTACATTAGCCCAAGAGGATATGTTATGATGGATTGCTTATGAAGAAAAGTGTAGGGTAGATTAGTCTTATACCTTTATATCCTTTGCCTGCCCCAATATTAAATTGCATTTTAGTCCTTAAACGTTCTTTATTTGGATGAGGGTCCCACAAGATGGTGCATAATTACGTAACCTTGATCATGGTTTGAAAATGAATTTTTGCTTAGAACCTACTCATTCTGGTACACACACACAGCAATGTAACAACTCCTAACGTGCTATATATTTCCATGCTTAATAGCTATAAAAATTAGTTATGAAGTTTCAATATATCACATCCTTAAGGAATCAATACCATAGAGTTTATTGAATATTCTCTTAGGAGGGTTAATATTATAATTTGATTTCTTGAGACTCTCGAGGAACAATAAGAAAAATATGGGTTGGAGGAGAATGTGACATCTAAAATCTTGATCTTAACTGCTTAACTAACACGAGGAAATCATCATGACATAGTTATGAAATTTGAGACCACTGTTTGTGCTTTTAGTGAAGTATTATTAGAGATAATGTAAGAGAACATGAATGTATTTTAAACATTAGGTTTGAAGATGCATCTTCCCTCATTACCCTGACCCATTCCAACCAAAAAAAAATTGAACTGGCTTAAAGATCCCTTTTAATATGAAAAAAGTGGTAGGAAAGGAAATAAAAGCTCATGATTTCCATAAGGTCTTACCACATTGAATGATTAAAATATGCTTTTAGGAACAGTTAGATTAACAAAACTTTGGCTCTTAAAGTCCTTTATGATCTAATAGTTAGACAATTGCATACGGTACGTCTTAAAGTAAATGTAAAATCTAATGAGAATCTATGATGTAGGTCTCTCATCTAAAACATTTCGCATCATTTTTGAGGGGCTATATACATTCCGATCTCTTCTCCGTCTCTTATCTAAAGCATTTCACTTTTACAGGCCTCGTCTCATGTTTGAAGGACTCTGTACACTCTGATCTCTCTCCAGTCTCTTACCTAAAGCATTTCACTCTTACAAACTTCATGCTTGAGGGACTGTGCACATTCACGGTCTCTCTCCGGTCTCTTACCTAAAGCATTTCGCTCTTACAGACCTCATGTTTAAGGGATTGTGTACATTCCAGACTCTACCTGATCTCTTACCTAAAGCATTTCTCTCTTAGAGACATCATTGCTTAAGTGACCGTGTACATTCCGATCACTTAAGTTAGACTCTAACCCAGAATCAACGTGTGAGAAATATTTATAATTCTTAAGTACGGGACAAGGTAGGACTAATACAAGACAAGGCAAGACCAATTACATGTCATTATGAAGTAACAAATATAGATATGTTTCTTGGTTTCATCAGATACAATACCATACAAATCATTTCTAATTATGCAATGAAGATATCTTGATTTCATGAAGATGTCATCAATTCATTAACAAAGACTAGTCATTTTTTAACCACAGAGATTCCTGTGCTTACAGTTACTCATTTCTTTTATCTTTTCAGCTTCAAGTTCACAAAAATGAAAACTACCTGTAAAGCATACATAATTTTTTAAACCAATTAAGGACTTTGTATTATTATTGATAAGAAAGTGAAAAACAATCAAAATCTTTGAAGCAAGGGCATACAACATCAATAATAATGATATCAATCAGCTTTGTCCGTTACTGCCTCGTTCGCGCTCGACTCAGAAGATGTATCTTTGGACACTGCACTCTCCTCTGCCAGTTGAACAAATCGCCTACTAGGTGCAACCCTGATTGGCCTTCCCTTCAAATTCTGCAGAATATCAATTTTTCAAATGTCACAAGAAATTGCAGGAAACTTTGTGAGAAGTACAATACACACACATACTCATGAATCTGAATTTAAACAAATAAATAGGTGCAAGAAAGAAACCATGAGTTACCTTTCCTTGAAACTCGGAAAGAGCGTCATTTGCTTCTTTCTTGGACTTGAAGGACACAAATCCATAACCAGATGGTCTTCTGGGATTCTCATGGTACACAACCTCTGCAGAAACAACTCCACTAGCTCCCGAGTCAAAAAATTCTTTGAGATCTTTAGACTTTGTTTCATACGACAAGTTTGCAACAAACAAGTTAAATGTTATTGGCTTATGTTCCACTGGTGGCGGTATTTTCTCCTTTCTGGGTCGAGCATATTTGAGATTTATTACTCGGCCTTCAAACTCCTACGCAGCATTCACAAAATAAACAAATAAACACATAGAATCAATGTCCCTTTCTAAAGATGTCAAGTAAATTCAACTGCAGAAGACACATAAAAATCAAAAAGCCACAAGGTTGAGAGTCTGTTATTTTATCCCCTAATGGGAGAAAAAGTTTCAGTGATGAGTTTTGTTCCGGGCCACCCACAAAAGGCCCGAGGATAAAGGTCCAATAGCGAAGTAAGTGCATAACAGGTAGACTCGTTTTCCTCTCTGAGCAGGCAATTTCGTGCATGAGAATCTTACCAACCGTCCAGATCAATATGACAGCGGATTGCGATCCACGTCTCAATCCACGCTTTCAGTCGCCAATTACTTCTTTTATTTAAGAGGGAGGAGAGTCCGCCATTTCTAGGATATTCAAATTCATTCTTATTTATACATCACTCTATTCACTCTCATTCTAACTTGATCGTTGGAGTGTTAACCTTACTGATCAACTCTCTCTCCACTACGGCATTGTCTCTTTGATTACCGATCAACTTCAGTTCCACTTCGGAACAAGTTTGACAGGTAAAACCATATGAAAAACAATCCCCAATATTCTAAATCGCAAATGCAGATAACATTGTTTTGTTCAAATTCCGCTATGTTACATTGCTACAACGCCACTTTAGCAACTATTTGACACCATTTTGTAATAAATAACATATTGCAAAATATTTGTGACTTTTCAAATTCAGGTACACAGACTATCTAGAAAACCCTATGAATAGATTTCAGAAACTAATGAAACCGAAGAGAGTAAAAATGATATTGGGCTTACATATGATTGGAGAGTACTGAAAACTGCAAGAACCTCTTCTGGTGAACCCATTTCCACAAACGCTAAACCTCTGTTTCTGTTCTTATTATACATAGAAAGCTAAAACCAAAACAAACAAAAAACGTATCACTATCACATAAATAAAAACCTCAAATGAACAGAAAAAGAAAAAGAAAAAAACGAAGAAGAATGAGAATTCAAACCTCAACATCAACGACTCTCCCATGTTTTTCAAATAAAGTACGAATATCTTCAACCGTACTTGTCCACGGAACATTCTGAGCAAGCAACCTAGTACTAGAAAATTCTTCTGCATTTTCTTCGGTTACTTGAGTTTGTTGTTGTTGTTGGGAAAATCTGAGAGTGAAACTAGCGTGTTGTTTGGTTGTGATAGTAGTAGATAGACGTAGCGAGTGAATGGAAGAAAACAAGAGATTGGATTTGAGGTTGATGGAGTAGTTTTTGTTCTTGTTAAAGTCTATGGAGGAGAAAGAGGTTATTATTGCTCGATGGTGTTGTTTTGTGGATAGTTGAGGTGAGGGAATACGTAGAAGCGCCATTAGAGTTTTGAAAGGTTTGTGTGGATGATGAAATGGATAAAATCCCAAATGTTGGAAAAGGACACCGTCGGTTTTCAATTTCAAACACTGTTTTTTTTTTTTAATACACAAATTTAAATTAAAATATTCATTTTGATCGATTAACTATATTCTATTTATGCTTCATTTTGACGCTTTAAATTTTTTTTTTATATTACTTTGATCTTTTAATTTAAGCAAAATTCAATCCAATTATATGACATCATTCTCTATTGATGAATTGCAAAGTAGTTTATTGGTGCATGAATAAAAAATGAAGGTTCAAAATGATATTAATGAACAACAAGCTCTGAGTCTCAAATGGAGGAAGAGGAGTTGGGAGAGGTCAAGGTATATATGCTTCAACGGATCGAGACAGAGGTAGACAAAGCAAAGATTTCATTGAATGCTAACTATGTTGGATTCAATGATTAAGAAGCGATGATCCTAATGGCCAAAAAATGAACTAAACAATGCTTAATTGGTAGTTGTGTACGGACATTAAGTATAGGAGTGCGAGTTCGAGCCCACGACATTTTACTTGTTCATCTTTAATTAGGTGAACTCTAGCCACTAGGCTATTCAACCAAAAAAAGATGTTTGATATATATACTTTGGATGCAGTAATCACATGGTTGAAACTAAAGAATGGTTTTTTGAATTAGATGGTAGTTTCATAGTAACTATCAAATTGGAAGACAACTCAAAGATGCCAAATATAGGAAGGGCAATGTAAAATTGTGCATTAGTGGCGGGACTCATGTCATCGTTGATGTTTCTTACTTATTTGGCTTGGAAAAAATACTAAGCATTGATCGATTACAACAAAAGAATCTCATTATTGTGTTCAAACATGATACTTGACAAATCTTCCATGAAGATAAAGACTCAATATTGACCACTCAAATGTCTACAAATAAAATGTATGTCATTCTTGCACCAATTATCATACCAACGCGCTTTCAGACAACCAAGCAACTTATATTCAAGTTGTGTTACATTAGATAAGGACACTTAAACATCAAGGGTCTCAACACATTAGTGAAGAAAGAAATGGTGAAAGGATCTCCTAACCTCATGAACATAGACGAACGATGTATTGATTGCTTGGTGGGGAAGCAACATAGGGGTCATATTCCAAAGCAAACAGTTTGGAGAGCTAGTGTAAAGATAGAACTTGTACATTCAGATATATGTTTGCCAATATAATTTGAATCAATTAGTAGAGGAATAGGTACTTCATCACCTTTACAGATGATTAGTAGGAAAACATGAATTTACTTTTTGAAAGAAAAAAAGTCTAGTGGCTTTGATGTTTTCAAAATATTTAAGGCATTGGTTGAAAAAGAATCAAGTTGGTTTATTCAATGTCTCATAGATGATAGGAGAGGATAATTTACATAGTGAAATCACTTGGAAAATCCTCGTGAATTTCAATCATGGATATTTTTTATTTGAATTCAAGCATCTAATTTTTTAAAATTCAAACTATTAACAAAAATTTGAAAATCTCAATCCAAATAACTTTAAATATAAATGGTCTCTAAGTAAGTTAGAGGAGATAATTTATCCTCTTATTTAATATGTTTGTCTAAAAAATACATATTGTTCACATGTGGGAAGAAGTGATCTTTCGTTCTCTACCTTCAATATGGGATCTTAATTTACATTTTTTCCCGCGCCACTTGGCTATGGGAGGAGATTGTGAATATCTGCTCCATTTTCATTTTATGACTGTTATGATAACATTTTTGGGCGATCTCTTGGTCTCCCTAAACCACCCCAACTTACCCGTTGGGTAGCAGGTGCTTCATGCTCAAATGGAAGATGGACATGACAACCTCCAATAGGTTGAGGGTTGAATTCCCCAAAATGGCGTTGTATGGTGACGAGGCGTACACTACAAAATATTTCACCTTGACGGTCTTTGTGCTTGCCTCAAACCCGAGTGTCGTCTCGAGTGTTAGATGGCCTTTCACCTACAATTGTTCGCTTGAAATACCAACTAAAGAGCCTTGGAACGCTTATGAACAAGATGTATGTTGAGCTTCTAGGGTCATTCAGCACTCGCTTACGTCCCAATTATCGTATTGCACAATGATGATCTTGACTATGTAACACCCTAAAACCCCACGACTCTTATTTAATCAAAATCATACAAGTAATACATATTCAAACATGAAAGGTGTTACACATATCTATAAGCATTACATTCTTCTCAAAACTTTTTCAAAAATACGCAACAGATAGTCTCAAAGTAATCTCAATTGGATAACTTTGAAATCAAAATATTTAAATGCGCATGCATAAGGGAATAGTCTCACAAACCAGAGAAACAAAAAAATAGCAATTAAACAAATCTTGTCCCAGTGTTACATATCAAAGCGAAACCTCGGAACTAAACTACATTAAAAAAACAAAAATAACGAAGAAGATAGTAAACATCATTCCTCAACTCAGCAGCTAATACTCATTACATGTATCTGCAACATAGGCATAACAAGCCACACAAAAACATAAAAGGGGTGAGAATAATCCTTACAAATATTAGCCGTAAAAATAAATAGTATAATATTCATAACAACAATGAGATTGTTCTCACATAGCAACAACAACAATAATAATTATAATGCAAATGCAAAATGCACCATACTCCTCCTCCAATATGCATGTGGTATCAGGTTTTTGGGCATCAGAGGTGTGTTACTGATTCATCCTTGTACATCCCTGAAATACCAGTCTGACCGGGTTATGAAGTCGTCTAGAAAGAGAGCAAAGAGAGTGTCTAAATTTGCAAGAATGAATAGTAACTGAGTCGAGGAGTAACCCGGCTAAAGGGTCGAGAATGGTTGTCATCATATTCGTATAGGAGCCTATCTACGCTACCACCATATATATGGCATGTAAATGGAGTCCATCTGCTCATAGCCGACTAGCAGCCCAACACATTAAAGGTTGTAACGGTTGTTGGTGCATTAAACCCATTATTACATAAATTTGAACGCCTCCATTCATGGTGACAACGACAATTATAGAGTTATGAAGTCCAAGAGTAACCCCTTGATTAGGGCTCTTAATGACTCAAAAGGAAGACTACAAATAAGGGCTCCTGCAATAGGGATAAGCAAGACATTCATTTTGGGACAATACGCATCACTATCGTAGCTCCTAAATCCCCCAAATAATCTACAGAAATCTACCAATTAGGGCTCTCCTTATACCTATAAAGAAGCTACTCGTTTATTGTTTTTACGCATGAACATTTAGCGCCCACTGTGGGGCCTCGGTAAAACTGTCGTAGGCCATACCTTAAACCACATTCAACAAAATGTAAGCTGACGAGGATCCCCCAGACATGGTGCAACTCTTGGACATGGTGGAGGCCCTCAGGCAATATAATGAAACTTTGTAGGATAGTGTAGTAGCCCTGCAACTAAAAAGTCAAGGGGATGAACACCCAAAAGAGGAGCTTCTGGATCCATAACCGCTTTCTAAAGCCATATGGGACAACCAAGTCCCTGAGAACTTCAAATCATTATCGCTCACATCTTACACCGACAAAATTGATACACTGGAGCATGTTATCGCCATCAACAATCAGATGGCAATAATAGGCCATACGGATTTGCTGAAGTGTAAGCTTATGGCGGGAACCTTTAAAGACATAGACTTAAGGTGGTACATGAGCCTTCCTCGATTATCCATGGAAAGCTACTCATACCTAACCAAGAAACGGGTACAACATTTCTCGGCCAATAGACACCGCAAGGTCTCGACAACTACATTATTCAATGTCTGACAAGGACAGTCGGAACCTCTGTGGGAGTACTTGGCTAGGTTCAACGAAGAAACTATTATAGTCTCCCATCCCAATAATGTCCCTTCCGTCCAAGGGTGTAATTGGATTAGAAAAAACCAATTAAATAGATAATCTAAACCAAACCAAACCGAAATAAAACTGATTGTTTCTGATTGGGTTTTAAAACGGAACCAAACCAATGAAAACCGATGTGGTTTGGTTCGGTTCTCGATTTTAGTTTTTAGGAACCATCAAACTGATGAACCAAACCAATTAAATTAATTATGCTCCAAATATTTTATTCCACCCATAATAATTCCAAATTTTATATCGGCCCAATCATTCGCTATCTTTGTTTACACTTCCTTCCTTTTAGCAAAACACATGTCAAGAACCAAACTCTAAAAAATAGAAAGTAAAAATCATAAGTCACAAAAGCTTAATTTCAATTAACTATTACTCTCGTTGTCCTCTCGTTTGCAGGAGTTTCTCGCGAACAATCTCTAGCCTCTTAATTAAAGGTTACTTGCAGGACCGACTACAAAAGTCCTAGACTTAGTGTTAAGTTTGAGAGTGTTGTGGTCTTTTAAATGATTAAAGTACAAAAAATATAATAAGAAAAAGGTAAAAGACAAAGAAATATAAATAAATTGCAAGACTTGAAATAAAATGCTTCGAATTTAAAGGTGAACGCAATCGTACATTTCTCAGAACTGACTTGTTTCTCTAGACGCTGGTACTTTGAGTGTTCTCTTACAATATTACAAAATGCGACCCTAAAAATGAATGCAATAACTTGCTTAAATAGATGATAAAATGTAACCTTCGATGGTTACTTGAAAATCTTACGTTGAGAGTTCGTATGGAACTGCTTCCACGTTTTGTTAATGATTATAGGTGACAACTGCATTTTACCGCCACCTGCTCTTATTTTGGACTGGCCTAACCTTTTTCGACCCAGTTTCCGTTTTTAATACTATCTCAATTAACTTCTTAAGGATTCACTTCTTAAATCTTGTTGGCAACCTCAGCTTCTTACTTGCATAGTAATTAGCATTCTGAAATTCAGACTTCATATGTCCTATGACATGTTGGGACATCTGATCTAACTTAAACAACACAGATAAGGTATAAACAATATAAACAGTACTGAAAAGTATAAACAACACACAAGAACTATTAA